AGCTGAAAAGTCCTTGACTAGTGTAAGCACTACGTAGCAACAACTAAAACATCAGTGTGTTATCAACATTGTTCTCACCCTAAATCCAAACCACAGCACTGTACCAGCTACTAGGAAGGAAATTAACTCTATCGCAGCCGAAACCAGGACATCAAGCTACCTGGGCAAGCTCATCAGGTATGAGCATCCTGCTCTTGTACAGTGGACTGGGTACTCCTCCATTCACCCAGTTCTTATTGTATAAAAGTTGCATAAATACTGCTTTAAACTAGCTGACAAAAAAACAGATGAGGAGCTCTGCCTGAGCCAAGGAGCACTTCGCTGCTGCTTCACTCGGATAGAAGAGGAGACACTCTGTGGGTGGGAAGGGACATTGCTAGGCCCTGCTATAGATAAGAGGGCTGCACCTCCTAATTTGGGCTAGAGTCAAGCGGCACTGAGGGGGAGAGAGAGCTTTTAAAGGCTCTTTCTTTATGTCCAAGAGGAGCTTGGAGGGAGCGGAGAATTAAAGTTGAAGTGAATTACTTAAACATTGCTGTTTAAATTGTTCTTCTGCTGAATCCTACAGCTTCATTCCTATGGTAACAAAAGTTAGAATTTCCTAAATAGCTCCTTTTAAAAATACAGTAGTAACAATTAATAAAGACTTAAAGGTCTTGTTCTTCCATGTCATCACAAGGTACAGTATGTGCCCAGAAAGCTGAAGAGGAGTGAAAATGTATGAACCAGGAGGAGAAAAGAAGGGCATGTATTGGATAGCACTGCATGGCTGATGCTTTTCCAACTCATAATTCAGTTGACTATGAATGCTCAAAATACCTCTGCTTAGGAGCCTTTATGTTTTGGCCAAAAAAGAGAGAATGTCCAGCTGCGGCATGTGCTATCCAACTTGCCTTTTTGCTGTGTGTGTGCCAGGCTGAATACTCCAGGTTTCTGTGTTAGCGTGTATGGTGTGCCCAGCCATGGGCAGATGCAGTTCTCATCTGTCTGGACGGGCTGTGCAGCTGCAGCCGTGGTACGTGACATGGAAGCGTGTGTGGTTTCTGCTGGTGCTTAAGTGACAGGGAAGATACTAAAGCTCCTACAGGCTCCCCCCCAGTAAATATGAGCTTCTAGGCAGCTATGCTAATGGTTTTCTTATGCAATCAGGTACATGAGACATGGGGCTGTTGTCACCTTTTGATCCATCAATAGCTCAGATGCTTGCGTTTGGGCAAGAGGATGATCG